GGCTCTTTCCTCCTCTCTCTGTTTCCTGGATACTATGGGTTAAACACCTTTTTGTTCACTATAGCCCTCTGCCATTCTGTTTTTGGCCTTGGAGCCAGCCAGTCATGAACTGAAACCAACATAACTTTTCCTCCTTTAAGTTGCAGGTGTGAACATTTTGTCCCAGTAATGGAGATAACTAAGACAGCAAGTCAATGAGGAAAAGAAAAAAAAAGTATTTTGAATACTTTTCAAAGTATTCAGTGCTGGAATAATTGTACACACACACAAATTTCAAAATAAGGACCTGTCAAAAGTCAAAGAAGGCAGCTAGAAAGCAGGTCCCACTGTCAAATATGGGCAATTGCATGTCAAAATAATGATAGTAATGAGTTATTGTGAATAAAACCAAAATGTGGAAGTCCATCAATATTTTATAAATTCATGAATAAAAAATTTGGTGAGAATTGAAATGTTTACATAGTATCTTAGGCCATCCCAGTCCATCCCAGTGTTCACCCTTTGCAATAGAAACAAGTAACTTTGGAGTGGAGAAACCTTGCAGGCACTGCCTTTACCCAGTGATAAAGTTAGTATCAGTAATGGGAAAATTGAAATCCTGTAAATCCTGTGCCACCTGGTGGGATGCAATGAAAGGAATACAGCTTCACTTCTGTGATTTTTCTCATCAAAGGTGCATAAGTTTACTCAGAAGGAAGTATCAGACAACTCAGATTGAGAAACCTTTTACAAAATAACTGGCTTGTAGTCATCAGAAGTGTCAGTTATGAAAATCAAAATAAGCAGGCTAAATACATATGCCAATAATCCACTGAGTAATTCTAAGCTGAATTTTTTGTTCTCATGGACATTACTGAGAAACTGGTAGATATGAAATGAGTTTTGAAAGTAAGATGGTATTAAAGCATTGATGTGACTTCTTGGTTTTGATGGCTTTGATAGTTGTATAGGAGAGTGTCCTTAGAGAAAACACAAACTAAAGTATTTGGAGGGCTGTGGAGTGTTATGTAAGCAGGTTATTCTCAAATAGTTTAGGTCAAAATAGTCTTTGTATTGTATACTTAAATTTTTGTAAGTTTGAGATTGTTTCAAGGAAAATAACATAAGGGGGAAAAGTGTAGGGGAGGGACCCTGTGGAATGACTCCCTTTCTGCCCGTGTGTGGCATGTGCATTGTGCCTGGGGGCAGCCTCTGCCACATACCTGGAGTGCACCTGGAGGACCAACCCTCTGAGGAGTGGACACCCCTCCCCTGGCATCAGAAAGACATGGAATGACGCTTGTTCTTCAGGCTCTCAAAATAGGATATGAATGTTTCTCAAGTTTCTTGCAACTTACCCTACTTTAAGTGCATTTTTTAGTAAGTGAGCTTTAACTCTTTGAGAACTATTTATACCAATGCACCCTCATCTCCCTTCCCAGGTGATGGGGATGGGAGTGAGGTGGAGAAAAGAACCCTGATAGCTACAGTACTCGCAGTCAGAGGTGAAGGTAGTGTGTTGGTGATTCTCCATCTGCACCCCTGCCTTCCCGCCGCCTCTGTTCTTCCTTTCCTTCCCCACTTTGTACGCCAAGGAGTTGATCCTGCAGAGAGCCAGGGCTGGCTCACTGCCCACCAGCTACTCCTTGGCTTCTGCCATGGGAGAGAACATGGCCATTGTGTTTCCTCCCCTGCCTACTGCCCACGCTGTGCTGCTGTTCTGGCAGTGCCATCTCTCCGTGGCCCTGTTTCCTACTGAAAACCTCCCCTCACTTCCAGCTCTCAGTGGGCTCTGCCAGGCTTCGCCCCGCCTCTCTGCTTGCTTCTAGGGCCTGGAGGAGGTGATGGCTTTCCCAACACACCAGTGTTTCTGGAATATGCTTCCCTCAATGAAAGACAAGAGCTAAGCAATATATGATGGCCTTAAAAGCTGAATGTTCTACACAAGCACCTATCTGTCAAGAATCATTTCACTTTGCTTTAGAGTCATCTGTACAAGGACACTGTGAGAACAGAGGAAGATGGAAAACCTACGAAGGTGTAGGAGATGCTGTGACTGTTCCATGTACCCCTCGCCTCATGTGTGGAGGAGGGTAACACCATCCTGACACACGTGACTCCATCTGGGCTGTGATAGGAGCAGAAGTGAGGGAAGCTCCCACTCAGCAGGAGCTTAAAGGGTCACTTTAAATCTTCTGGATTTTCTTGCCATCCCGAAGTCAGTGTGATCTTCAGCCTGAGTTGCAGATGAGAAACTTGTGGAGCAGTGCTGAGCCAAGCTGGGATGTGGTGTGTGAGTAAGATACAACTCTCTGGTGCTAGAAGCCACTGAGGTTTTATGTGGGTACCTGTGGTAGATTCACTCTTGGTCAACTTGTAGCACTAAGTTGAACTCAATCAGCGTGGTTCTGGGTGTGGAAGGCCATCTGAGGATTGTTGCCAACGGCCTAAAAAGAGAACTGGAAGGGAGGATGTGTGCTATTGATTCTCCTGGAGAAGCTTACCAGACTGGTTTTCCTGATAGGAACTCAGCTGTTGTCATCATTGGAGGAGCTCTAGTCCTCCTTCCTGTCACTGAGAATGGCTATGGTTCTCTTCGGGGGACCTCTAGTCTGTAATTTGAATGTCACTTCCTGGTTCCAGTGCAGATCCTTCACCAAGCTAGCACAGACTTTCTAGCTTCCACCACTGACCTTTGGGCCTTCCCAGTGCAGATCCTTGATACAGACTTGCATGAGACATTGTCGTGGGCTCTAGGCCTCCAGCTAGACTTGTGCAGGACATTGCTATGGGGCCTAAGCTGGATTCTTTGGGTCTCTAGTGTGCGGACAGATCTCCCATACTCTTTTGCATTTGACTCTCGGGGTGAATATTATAAAATATTCCTATAAATTATGTGTCCTGTATTAAATCTTTTCCCTTGTAAAATCTGACTACAACAGTACCACAGCATAGCTTGGCTTAAGCTGACTGATAAAAAGATGCTTCCTTTGTGTTATATAAAAAAATAGCACAATTATCAGTTTTTAAAAGTCCACACTCTAGGTCATTCTTTTAAAGATGAACTAGGGGCCAGGGATATAGCTCAGCAGCACAAGCGCCTGCCTAGCAAGTATAAGGTCCTGAGTTCAGTTCCCAGTACCAAATAAATAAATAGAATTGAAAGATGAACTAATGGTACAGTCTCACCCTGCAGCATATCATGGGCCTTTCCCACCACCTGAAAACATAGGATATATCCATAAAGTGACAAGAAAACTCAAGTACAAAGATAAGCACAGAGCTATCAAGTAACGTGATAAAAGTCCAATTTTAAAAAAGAGAGATCTCCCCAGTGCGACTGTGAACGAGCTGCCTGGGCCTCGGTCTGTCCGGTTTTGGAGCGTCATCTCTGCAGAAGGGAGCGCCCACATTAGGGCTGCCTGACCGTGGTGCTCGGTGCTGCTCACATTTTCACTGGGACGGTTGATGTTTTTAAAAGTGATCGGGCAACAAAATCGAACTGGCTTTTAATGTTCTAGTGGTTTCATGTGGTCTACCTCTAATCCCAATATTCCTGAAAATCTGGTTATTTCTAGGATGTCATTTTTTTTGGTAGTACTGGGAATTGAACTCATGACTTTCCACTTGCAAGGCAGGCAGCCCTATATCTGCAGCCCTAGGATGTCATTTTGCAGAACGCAGTTTTTCAGAAATGTGTATAGCTATACCTAAAGTACCTATTTTAAAACAGGTCGTAAATGTGGTGTACAAATTTTAAATTTAAACAAAAAACTCTAACTCTGTCTCCACCCCGACAATTCTCCTCCTCCCATCCTGCACGTGGCGGGGGGGTCAGGAGGAAGGGGGGTCAAGTGCAAACAGCAAGGCCGGCAGAATCAGGGCGAGTCTCTTCCTCACTCTACCACCTTCTAGCAGCTTCATCTCCGATGACATTAACTCTCCGAGCCTCCGGCTCCTCCTCTGTAACTGGGAGGGGAGCTGAAAGATGGAATGAGCAACTGTGGCAGAAATCTGCATCCCATCCTTCCTTCCAGAGCCCATAGAACAAGGGCACGGGTGTGTGCTTCCCTGCCTCCCCGGCAATGGTGTGCGGCCTTGCGCCCAGTGCCGTCCTGAGCAGAGGCGGTTGCTCACCTCCGGGTCAAGATTTGAAGAAACCACTGTGCCTTGGTTGTGCGCACTTCCTTCTCTGCTGGCTGGAGACATAGGCTCAAGCCCTTGAGGATGAAAGACCCGGATGCGGTCCCCAGCCCTTGAGAACAGAAGATCCTATTGGACCAGACAGAGGGCTGGGAACCTCAGTGTCTCAAAAAGTGTTTGCTTGTATTATACTTCAGCCATGACACATTTTTAGTCCATTTTTTTTTAAACAGCAGTTCGGCTTAAAACCAAAATCCACTCAGCAGCAGAGGAGTATTAAGTCCCCTCTTAAAGATAAACTTTAAAATCATTACATCCTAGATCAGAGTAGGAATATCCAGCATCTGCTTGAGAGCAAGAGCAGGTCCCGAACTGACTTAATGGGAGCTAGGGTAAAGTCTTAGCAAATCTGAAAACTGTGTCACTGTGGAAAGAGGGCAAAGGGAAGGGGTGACATGTTGGCTGAGGAGGTGCAGAGAGAGTGGACACACAGAAACCAGGGTTGGTCTTTCTGGAAACTCACCTGAGGAGACGCAATCTCAGTATGCAGATACTGCAGGTGTCCCCAAAGAGCCCCTCCCACAGGAACACACTTTCAAATAGGATCGCTTCTGCAGATGCCCAGGGCCCCCATCCAGAGTACCCAAGGATGGGCCCAAGCACAACAATCTTCCAAGATCTCCACAGGTGAAGAGATACCTGGCTAGAGCCAGACATGATGGTGCATGCTGTAATCCCAGCCCTCTGGGAGGCTGAGGCAGGAGAAACGCAAATTCAAGCCCAGCCTGGCAATTTGACTCAGACCCTGTCTTTAAAAAAAAGCCTCATTATAGACTGCTGTAGAGTAGAACAGAGATGCCTTGGAGGCAGGACAGCCACATTCTCTGTGACAGAACGAGAGCACCATGTGCCCTTCTCAGGAGGGCACTCAGGGTGTTGGGGGCAAGCACTCCCTGCCCTCTTCCTGGACGGTCCCGCTGCCACTGCAGGCTTCTGGGTGTGCCCCACCAGCAGGAGGGCTCCTTGTGTCCCCAGAATCCCTGGAGGCACCCCTGCAAGGCCCACTGTGCCCACAAGCAGTGGGACCCCAGGATTCAGTCCTGGTCACTTCACTGTGCCTCCAGAAAGAAGAAGAGGCCAGCAGGGAGCAGCCTTGGCCTGGCGAATACAAGCTCTGCCTTGGTGTCAACCAGACCCACACTGCCAAAGAGAAGAGTTTCCACTGTCAATTTTATTATTCCTGAAGTCATTTCAAATTAAGCAAAGGATTTAACAAAACATATAAAAATAGACATTTAAGAAATCACAAGCGGACAGCATATTTATGGAATTGCTTTTCTGGTCACCCAGAAAAGTCAACAGCATTTGCCTAATAGTAAGCCGCATCTGGATGACACCAGACACTGGAGCAGAGACACCGCTTGACGCTGGCAAGCAGAAGAATTTCCGGCCACCTCTGCGGCTGCAGGAGGGTGGAGGACAGCAAGACAGGCAGCAGCAGCGGGAGGGTCCTGGACTTCGCATGGAGCTACATCCTCAGCCCTTTTTTATTTTGTGTTTCTGAGACAGGGCCTCAGTAAGTGGCCGTGGTGGGACGGAATTTTTCAATCCTCCTTCCTCAGCCTCCCTCGGTAGTGGGACTGCAGGCGTGCACCACTGTGCCAGGCTGTGTGAGTTCATTTTCCATCAGTTCCATCACTGTCTAACTTGTGGGTTTGGGTGGGGAACATCCACCTGTCCACAGACATACCAGGAAGACCCAAGCTGACAAAGCAGCTCCCAAACGCAGACCCCAGGGCTGCAGGGAAGGCAGGCATGGTAGGGCCCAGGCCCTGCTCCCAGAAGCTCGGATTCCACCACAACTAGAACCTCCTGTGAGCCCAGGATCCTGTGAGGACAAAGCACACGACTGTCCCCAGGAGTGCGGGCGACCAGGATAGGGGTATAGCAAGCTTTGTGAGCAGAGATAGGCCTGCAGGAGAGGCAGGCTTTTGCAAGGCAGAGAGGGAAAGTACATGAGCACAGGAGGCGGCCCTGGCCAGGGGACCAGAGCAGAGGCTGGGATGTGTGGGCCCCCAAGCAGGAACAGGGAGTCCCTCACGTGCACCTTCCTTCATTCCACAAGAATGCAACGAGTGCAGCCCCAACAGGCACAGGGAGGCGCCATCCGAGGTAGCATGGCTCTATGCATAGCTCCGGGCAGGGGCGCCTGCGCTCAGAGCTGTGCTTCGGAAGCAGGGCCAGCTGAGGGAGAGTCGGGGCTGCCGCCTGGTGCAGTGGGGAGCGTGTGGGCAGCCAGCACGGTCAGCACAGGTGGGATCTCCGTAGCCATGTGGGTGCGACCCGCCCGTGTCTGGGGGAGCAGCTGGGAGGGAGCACCGAGGGAGACCGTGGAAGGATGGCCCGTCACCATTCCTCCTCTGCCTGCAGCAGGCCCGGTCACTGGTCAGGGTGGCTGGGGGGGGACTGGCGCCCGGAGCTCCTCTGGTCTTCACGCCTGTCTTTGTCATCCTCCTCCCTCTCTCTGGGAAACTCTCGCACTTGCTCTGGTGGAGCCCGGTAAACTGCCCGGTCCCTTTAAGGCAAGGGAAACAGAGGAGAAAGGTCTGCCCTCGAGTGGTTGTGAGGGGTCTGGGAAGAGCAGCCGCTGGACCCCACCCGCCATCCCTACCTGCCTGCCGCAGAGGGACAGAAGAGGCCACCACCGTATTCCCCCCAGGGGTGGAGAGTGTCGGGGACGACACAGGTGCTGGGAGCGCCAAGGATCCCTCCCCAAGGCTGGCAGGCCCAGGACTCAGTGCAGCTTCTGGTTAGGGCCAGCCATGTTCTCCGCAGCTCTCAAATGAGGGCGTCGAGCGCAGCTGCTCCCCCAGAGGGAGTGTAAGTGGCCTTTCTGTGAGGAGCTGCTGCCCGTTTCCAATCCACCCAGGCCCCCCAACAGGCCTCCCGCCCAGACACTCACGGCCTTGCGTCCTCCTTGTCCTCTTTCCTGTCTGTGTCCCGGCAGCAGCAGAAGTAGATGATGACGCCAATGATGATGAGGGCCGCCACCACACCACCCGCGATGCCCGCGTACAAAGCCACGTTCATGGAGGCTGCAGAAGGACAGAGTGGCTGCATCTCCTGGGCCCCTGACTGAGCCCAACACCAAGGGAGACAGCAGAGCCAGGGACAGGAGCCAGCCCAGGCCTCCCCCGAGCCCTGGCTGCCATGTCCAGTCACATTTCACCAAAAGAGAGGCGTAGTCCGGTGGGAATGTAACCACACAGGCGGGGGACTGGTCCTCAGGTGAGGGCACAGAAGGCTCTGCATCTCAACACTCCAGGCTCCCGGACTCCAGCAGTAACCTGCGCTGTCAGCTCTGCCAGCACCTAGCCTAGCCTGAGCTAGATGTGGCACACCAGTTCAGAAGGATGGGCTGCAGACCGGCTGCTGGCACTGGGCACCTCCCCTGTGCTCACTGAGTGGCCCTCGGAGGAGCAGGATGAGGAGTCTACAGATATTAGTCCCAGGCTCTGCGGCCCAAGCGCAGGGGAACTTGGCTGGCCGCAGGTGAGGGGATGTGGCCTCGGGCACCGCAGCCGCCCTGCACATGCGCGGTCCCAGTGAGGCTCTGGACCCAGCTGGTCCCCTCGGGCCCCGCCCACCCTCCCTTCTGCTCTCACGCGGTCTGACGGTCAGTGTGATGTTGCAGGTCTCCATCCCCATCTCGTTTCTGGAGAAGCAGGTGTAGTAGCCTGAGGTGAGTATGGAGATGTTCTTCAGAAGGAGGCTCTGGCCTGAGGCTGTGGGGAGAGAGGGGTCAGGGGGTGCCGGGGAGAGCACACTCCGGGGAGTAGTGGCCAGGCCCGAGGAGCTGCCACATGGGGACAGTCTCTCCCACCAGGGCTGCCAACAGCGACAACTCTGGGGAGGTCATGCGAAAGTGACACAGGATTCCGCCACGTACCTGAGAGTAAGATAAAAATCACCCACAATCTCCCCACCTGGAAACCATAGCACTTTGATTTGGGGCTTTTTCCCCCTCATCTTTTCATAAAGACAGTACTCCTCCCAATTCTTTCTTGAAAACCCAGGGCACTACTTTCTGGATTTACTGCAAAATGCTACCCTTTCCAACCTAGAATTCCACATTGCCGTATGTGTCCTGGAATATTGCTCACAGGCAGTATAAACGCATGGTACTGGAAAAGGGGCTCACGACCAAGTCAAGTTTACAAATTACTGATCTGGGGTTAAATGCATTTTTAAGGTCCTAGCTCTCAGATGTTCTAATATGCTAATGAGGACCAGGAATGTCTAATAAGGTTTATGGTATTAACAGTCCCATTTTCTAAACTAATTAGATTCTTTTTTTTTTTTTTTTTGAGATAGGGTCTTTTATGTAGTACAGGGTGGACTTGAACTCACAGCAATCCTCCTGCCTCAGCCTCCCAAGTGCTGGGATTACGCTTGTGTGCCACCACGCCCAGCTAAACTAATTAGATTTTGTTATGCCCTTCCCCCACCCTCACCCCCCGCCCAGTATTAATTCCAGTACTTGGAACTGAACCCAGGGCATCCACACTGCCGGAGCCCTAGCCCTTCTTTTATTTTGTTAATTTGTGCAAGCTGAGCTCACACTTGTGATCATCCTCCCTCAGCTCCAGAAGTGCTGGGAATACAGGTGTGCACCACTGTGCCTGGCAGGCATTCTGTTCTCTTCAGCGGCATCTTGAAGGAGCACACTCTGTCTTACCAGTCTTAGTTGCTGTAGAGCGCGCCCCATTTTCCTGCTACTGTAGACCCTGAAACGCAGCGCGGGTGTTAGGCGCTCCTCGAACAGGGCGGAGCAGCTCTAGGCCCTGCTGAGGGCGGGGCCGTGGGGCTTCCTAACGCAGAGCAGCGAACCGCGGACCCTACAAGCCGCTCTGGGGCGAACCAGTGCACACAGTCCACTACAGCACCAGCTTTCATTCTGTTTCGTTGTTGTTTTGTTTTGTTTTTTCTTTCTGAGACAGGGTCTCGCTATGCAGTTCAGGCTGACCTTGAGCTCACTTTGTAGCCCAGGCTGGTCTCGAACTCACAACCATCCTCCTGCCTCAACTTCCCGAGTACTGGGATTACAGGCGTGCGCCACCGAGCTGAGGCTCGGTTCCCAGTTCCTTCTGAAAGCCGAGGGGAAACTAATTTTTCTGCTGCAGCAGCGACACCTTGTGGTTACACAGGTTCGCACAGAACAACTGTCAGTCTCCCACCTTCCCTCCACTCTAGCCCGGCAGAAATTCCTCTCCTGGTCCGGCACAGCACCAACGTGGCGTCAGCAAGGCCTAACCTCCCTGCCCGCCCCACACGCCACGGCTGTCCATCCGCTCGGCTGCCACCGCTCACAGATCCCGCAGGATCCTCCCGCACCTCTCATCCTCATATCCTCCTCCCCTAAGACATCCCAGCCTCCAGAATCACCCCTTCCTCCTTCCTTAAAACTCAAATTCTTATTCCCTTGGCGTGGAAACTTAGCTGGCCGGGGCTCCGTTTACAAAATGCGTTCATGGCCATCCTGCAGGGGTCTCCTCGTACCTCTTCGCAGCCTCTAGGGTCGTCGTGCTTTCCGCTCTTTTTCCAGGTGACTAGGCTAAGGGGCAGAGAGGCTGTGACTGGAGCAGCTGCACAGTCAGGATGAGGACTCAGATCCCTGCCTCCCCGCGCCGGAGGCCCTCCTCAGCACTGTTCTTGTTTCTGCCCATGGCCAAGCCTCATGCTGGAAATTCTGTCTTGAGATGAGGGAGGAGAGCAGGAGCTCTCCCAAGTCACCTCGGTGGACTGGAGTGTTTCCGAAGACTTCGGAAAGGAGTTTGCACTGACCCGTGGAGGAAGAAGGCACGGACAGATTTCCAGGCCTCTGTGAGAGAGGCCGGGGACAAAAGGCTTGGAGAAGCCCCAGCTGCGCCCTCCCACCCCGTCCAGATACACAGCTGCATGGCTGTCACCATCCGCCCCCAGGTCTCAGTGCTGACTCCGAGCACAGTGCCGCAGACCCCGAGGCAGGGCAGAGCTTCTGGGAGGCAGAAGCTCATGTCCCTTCGACCCCTTTCCTGACCTTGGGATTCTCCCTTGCAAAGCACAGAGGGCTACGTTTTGGCTTCTAACACCCAGAGACACCTTTCCTGATGGAGGCAGTAGAGCTGGGACCTGGGTGCCCCACAGTACCTCCTCCCTGCCCCTCAGCCACTCTGACGGCCACGTGCTCCAGGCTCAGGCCACACATCAGGAGGGCCCCACTCCCACAATAGCCGGGAGTGCCCAGCAGTCATGGTGCTTCCTGTCGGCCTAGGACTGTGTCAGTGTTTCACACGCATTTAATCTTCATAACAGTCTTGTGAACACTAGTGTTGTACCCATTTCATAGATGTAGAAATGAAGGCACACAGAGGCTGAGGAACTTGTCAGGGTCAGACAGCTGGCAAGTGGCAGAGCTAGACTCAAGTCCCCCGCATCACGCTCCCCAGCACCACACTGCCCTGTGCTCAGCTGTGCCCCTCAGAGAAATGTCTGTGAGCCCTGCATGCACCCCTGCTTTGCACTGATGGGCACAGAGGACTGCAGTGGTCACCACCCCCACCCCTCAGCCCTGCCCCCCCACTGTGCCGGAAGGAAGGCCAGAGGCCACCAGTGCCCAGCAAAGACCTGTTAAGCCGGGCACTGGAGGCATCGGTCACTCAGGCAGAGACCCAAGAGAACCGCAGGCAGAGTCAATAAAGCTTCCTGGCATACTTGTAAAGGCTGGCCACCCAGGCGGGGGGTAACAAAACTGGAAGATGGCTGACAGCCACATTACAGTTTCCATTTCACATTAGGTTGAATGAGTTCTACTAATTCATTCTTTCCTTCCTTCTTTCTTTCTTTTGTGGTAGTGGGGCTAAAACCTAGGGTCTTTGCACTGAACTACACACCAGCCCTTTTCTATTTTTATTTTAAATGTTGAGATAGGATCTTGCTAAATCACTAAGTTGCCCAGGGTGAACTCAAACTTGTGATCCTCCTGCCTCAGCCTCCCACGGTACAGAGATTTACTTTCGATTTTTTGTTTTGTTCCCAAACGAGTGAAAAGTAGAGTAACAAAAGTCACCCTCGGTGGACAGACCCCGGCCGCATTTGTCCCGCTGAGCTGTGCCCCCGTGGGCTTCGTTTTTGCCTCCTGCTTCCTTTTCAACCCACACTGACATGAAAGGCCCCCTAGAAGTTCAGTCTGATGGCCCTGTTGTTCCTGATCCTCAGGGGCAGCGGGACAGCTGGGGAGGACGGCGCCCGGGGTCTTGGCCCGGACCAGGGAGCCTCAGCTGCGACCGGCTCTCCTGCCTGCTTGCTTCTGGACCGAAGAGTCAGATATCAAGCTGCCAGTTCCCAGCTGGTTTGTCAGTCGGGGCTGAAATTAGAATGTCCTTCCCCGAGGAAGGGACCTGAGGGGCTGTATTCCCGAGGGCGTCTACAGCGGCGGGGTGAGTGAAGGGCCAGACGGATCTGTCTGCAAAGGGAGTGGGACTGGGTGCGGCCCTGGAGTTAGACTTGGGGTATCAAATGTACACCCGAGGACGCAATCACAATCAACATTAAAATCCCATCAGTACACTCTCACAGCGGCGAACTGAGGTATGAGGAATAACGAAAACAAGGCGGCATGTGTTATGTTCCGCTGTTACCAAGCTAAGAGGCTCGAGCCAAGGTATCCTGAGCGCTGGATCAGGAAAAGTGACGTGATTGGCCAGCGCCCCGCCTCCCCTGGCAGCCCCAGCCAATGAGCGCACCCAGCTCGGGCCGCCGTGCCTGCTGCTGCTCACCTGGAGAGGACAGAGACCGCTCCTGGCGCTGGGCGTCGTAGCTCTTCCAGTTGTACTGCGGGGCCGGGGAGCCCTCCGCCGACTGGCAGCTCAGCTCGATGTTGTTCCCGATCACTGTCTCTCCCTTGATGTGGCAGTCTGGCGGAGAGGGTGGCACTGTAAAGGGACAGGCCAAGGAGATGGACTGAATTGATGGTGACGGCCACCTGCGCCCCAATCACACAGGTTCCAAAATACCTCCCCAGGGGCCTGTCTCTCTCAGAGTGGGGAGAAAGCCGTCGGGTCTGACCGAGGCTGCCCAGGTGTGGGCCACGTGTTCTCTAGTATCTTGGGACTTTAGAGACACTCTACCATGGCCTTTATAAAGATGCGGCTACCGAGGCCCAGAGGGGACACTGGTTCGTGGGACCAGAACCCAGGTCTCCAGACTGCAGACTCTGCTCGCCGCACCAGCTCACAGGAGCTCCTTCACGCGGACTCTGCGGCGTTTTAGGGAACCGCTGGCCTCTCTGGGATCTCAGAGTTCCTGTCTGGAAGAGGAGCAACCCTTTCTGGGAAGAACGGGTAGGAGGGTTCCGCAGACCACAAGCCACTCTGTGTTGCTGCTGTTCCTTTGCAATCATGCTTCAGAAATGTGAAGCCTGGGTCGAGGCTGGCTGCTTGGCCCGGCCCTGCATAAATGACCCCCGAGGGCCTGGGGTTGTGCACCGCGTTCCCTGCGCGGCAGCACTGCCCTCTTCCCAAGTCGGCTGAGAAAATACAATCACCCATTGGCGGGAGGAGAGGAGGGGCTCTAGGGTGCAGCGGAGTTGAGGGCCGCAATGGGGAAGGAGTGGGCGAAGGCGGAGAGGGGAGAGGGAAGCCCTATACGGGAGGCCACAGAGCCAGGGCCGCCATCAGCTGTCCTCCCCCATACCCTGCTTCCCAGAGCGTCCACGCCTGCGCCTTTCCCTCAGCCTCGCCCGTGCGAGCGCCACTGTGTGCAGCGGGGTCTGCACACCTGACAGCGCCGGGCACTGGGATGGCACGGTAAATGCCAAGGAATCCAGCAGGGGCAAAGCCTGGAAAGCAGGCAATGCCACGGCAGGAGGCAAGGGCCTGTTCCAGTCACCGCCTGGGACCCAAACGACATGTGAGGGCAAAGGAAGCGCAGGCAAAGTGGAAGCAATGGACCGAAGAGGGGCTCCAGGCAGAGGGAACGGCAAGTGCAAAGGCTCAGAGGCCAGAGGCATGCAGCATCCTCAGGGTGGGGAGGGCTGTCACTAAAGCCTGAGGCAGCAGGCCTGTCCCCTTGGAGAGCATGCTTGCCTGATAAAGCTGCCACCTGTATCACGCATGTGCATGGTCACTGGGCCAGAGAATAAATTCCAGTCTCAGCCCCACCAGAGGCCAAGTGCTGCAGGGCCTGCTTTTCCCCTCCAGCCCAGCAGCTGCAGTATTTGTTCTTGGAAGCAGAGCCAGGCATGGAGGTGCATGCCAGTGATCCCAGCACACTGGGAGGCTGAGGCAGGAGGAAACAGGCCAGCTGTTGTCAGGTGTGCTGGACTTCTGTTACCATAGTAACAACCGGGCAAGTGCTGTAGTCATGGCACAAAATCAGGCACTCCCTTCTTGCCCCTCCTATAAAGTGTCTTAACCTAAGTGTGCCAGGGTCGCCTGGCATCTCTAACCAGCAGCCTCCTGCCCACCTTGCTGGCCTAGGGTACAAGAGGTGGCAAGCACCCAGGACACCTCTGGAGCAGGCCTGGTGCTCAGCACTTTCTCTCTTGAGCTGCTCACCTGTTCTGGACCCACAGTCAGAGAAATGGTCCCAAACACCAATGCCCCAAGAAGTCATGGGACCCCAAAGTCACACTCAGTGTGCAGGACGGTAGGAGATCACTGCTCTACCAGGCGTCTTTGGGATCCAATAAATACAATACAAAGCAAAGGGAAAGTGACAGAGGCCCTGGCGCCCTCAGAAGCATTAAGCAATCTGACGGCTCCTGAAGCCTGGCTCTGCGGGTCCCGCTGTTTGCTACGGAAAAAGCAGAGCTGAGATAATGGCAAGTAAGGGACCATGAGGCCCCACGGAGATGAGCATTCGGGAAGAACGTGTCCGGAAGTTCAGCCCACACATCCGCCTCGCTCTGTGACAGGCTGGGGCCCCAGACCAGACCGATCCAGTTCACAAAGCCGTACACGCATGGCCGGGAGAGCCCCGCGCGGCAAAATTTTTTTTTTCCGTAAATAAGTTTTAATACGTAGAGTTCTCTGAAACAATCGTCTTGGAAAAATAAATCAGAATATAAACACAATATGATCGCCTTTGAATACTCCTGCACTTATGCGGCACTATGTAACGAGGAAACTTGCTCCGAGGAACTAGTACGCACTTGATACAACCTCAAGAACATGTAACCAGAAATATCTCAAAAAGTGAGGCCAAGAGAGCTGAGGAACAAAACATGCATTTCTCCATTCAATCTGACTTTGAAAAATTTATTTTCCTCACTTTGAGGGCATATTTACTGAGAAGAGAAAATTACACAGGTCAGCTACACACTATCTAGAGTCTTTATTAAGGGGGTACAGCCATCAGACCAACACCTAGCCATCAACATGCAACCTTATTTCCCACCTAACGTTAATAAGAATACATTTTATTTTATTATTTTATTTTATTTTACTTTCTCCGGTACTGGGGATCAAACTCACGACCTCGCGCTTGCCAGGCAGGCGCTGTGCCGCCGAGCTAAATCCCCAGCCCTACATTTTATTTTAAATACAACACTGAGGCAATATACCAAGAAATAAAGCACTACAGTCGCGCGGCCGATCTTAACCTGAGCAAGCAGTGTGGACGCGTGTGGGGTTCCGAGGCCGCTAGGATGCCTGCGACTCCCGCTGAGGACGGCAGGGGGCGCCAGAGGCCGGAAAGACGGCGATCAGGCCCGCCCACGAGAATAGTGGGGTCCCAGTGCCGGTAGCAGCCCGGCGACAGGCGTGCGCCCGCGGGGTTCAGGCTGAGGGCTTTCCTGCTCGCCTAGGCTACCCCATGTATGTAAAGCCCTCTGCCTGAAAAACGGCTGGGCTGCAAAGCAGTTTGGGAAGAAAATTCTTTAAAAAGAAGTTTACAGGATGTATTACCCTGCAGGAAAAAGGGATCTTTTTCTTTTTAAAAGCAAATCCTCGAGCTGGGCATGGTGGCGCACGCCTGTTATCCCAACACTCCCGGAGGCTGAAGCAGGAGGATCGCAAGTTCAAGTCCAGCCTGGGCAACTTAGGGACTGGACAAGGCTCTCTTTTAAAATTAAAAATAAAAAAGGGATGTGAAGATGAAGCTCAGTGAGAAAGCCCTGGGTTCAGCATCCAGTAGTGAAAAAAAAAAAATGGTTTCACCAAAATTCCACAGTCTCAGATGAAACTGGTACCCTTCAGGTAAACCTGTGCCCCCTAAACCCAGCCAGGCCTGCGAGGGGGTGGGTCGGGCATGCGCGTTAGCGCGAGTTCCGCGCAGTCCCCAAATGGGTATGGGGGCCGCCTCTTCCCCCAGGCCGCTTCCCCCGCCCGCCCTTCCTTCCCACGCGTCCGGAGCGAGAGCGCGACCCTCACCGAGGACCAGGAGGCGGACGCGCGCCTTGGAGGTGCCCTGCAGGTCGGACATCAGCGAGACGGAGCACTCGTAGGTGCCGTTGTCGTCCATGGACAGCTGCTCGATGGTGACGGAGGCGTCCGACTGCTCCGCGGCGTCCGCCACCCTCACGCGGTTCTCGTAGCGGCTGCCGTAGATGTAGGTGTGGGACCCGAACGTCCAGGTGACCACCTTTTCCTGGGAACGACCAGAAACGCCGCTGGTCTTCAGCGTGGGGCCCGGGCCCGGGCCTGCCCTGGCTGCCCTCGTGCAGCGTCCCCAGAGCCCGGCGGACGGACGGAAGGACAGACAGAGGGACACAGCAGCCCCTCCCGCAGACCCGGAGCCCTGGCCGGCAGGCTCCTCTGATCACCTCTCTCGCCCTCGCTGTATTTTTAAAACTTATTTGTAAGTGAACCTGTTGGAACCCAGGGGCCGAGGGCAGGTGCGCGCTTCACAGCACAGAAGCCCTCTGGATCCCAAGACTTCACCTTTGTGCCCCTCACACCTCTCCTCCATCCCCTCCAGCCTGGCCTGTTCTCTTTCAGTCAGTCAACCAGCACTTGCTGAGCACAGGCGTCATGCTGGGCACCCTTGGCTCTTGTTTTTGGAGTTTATTCTTTGATACACTCCCGCATCCTTGATCCAGCAGTGTAGGTAGGGGCTAAGAAAGACCACAGGACCTCAAGCCAGATGGCCTCAGTTCAAATCCCAATATGTCTCCTACTACTAGCTAAGTGGCCTTGAGCAAAATCCTCGCTGCCTCTGGGCGTCCATTTGCCCTTCCACAAAATGGAGGTGATAGTAACACCTGTCTCCTGGGACAGCAGTGAGGTGCAAAGCCGATAACCCATCCAGAGCGGTTAGGTTAGGGCTCTGCCGAGCCATCTCCGCAAGTGCTAGCGTAGTGTTGCTGAGCATCTGGCTGCCGCACATCCAAGGGCAGCGAATTCGTGAGCTCTTGCCTCAAAGAGAAATGTGGGCAACGGGCAGCCCGTCCCTACAGCTCATGATTAGCTGTGGGGTTCAGACAACAGGCATCGGCTCTAGACTGGGAGACTTCCTAGAAGAACTGACAGTTGCCTGGAATCCTGAAACACGACTTCGAATTCGCTCAGCCTTAATGGGGGCATGATGGAGTGGGCTAACCGCGTGGGGGTTTGGGCATTTCCAGCAAAGGGAGAACCGCAGACCAGGAGGCGCAGAGGGAGTGGAGGTGAGAGAGGCTGCTGCTCTGAGCTGGAAGTCTCACCTCATCTAAGCAGGGAAACACCCCGCGCACTCAGTCCTAGGAGTAGATACATTTTACACACGGAGGAACCGGGTCACCTGGAGGCTGAGCGTCTTTCTCAAGTTCACACAGCTAAGGAAACGGCAGAGTGGAGCTTCGAACTGGCCTTTTGGCTCCAGAACCTGCAACCCGGAGAGTCCACAGTGCCGAATCCCAGGTGCTGTGTGCATTTCACCTCGTAGGCACCAAGGGTCATGTGTTTGAAGAAGTTAGCTCTTAAGACAGAGTGCAAAATGCAGTGGAAGGAGAAGGGGGTCGGTGACTAACCCGGGTCGGCACCTCAAGCGGATATGGCGGCGGCCCGGGGAGGCAGTAACAGCAGACAGGCCGAGGGAGACCGGCTGAGGTGCGGAAGAGGAGACCAGGAGATCTGGAGGTGGCCTCGTGTGCAGAGTTAGGGGCCGCAGGCCTCGTGGATACTTGGGTGAGCCCGAGAGGAAATGCACGGGAAGGAGAGCTTAGGAAGAAGGGGGCCTGAGCTGCAGTGGGACCCCAGGAGCAGAGAGTCCGCAGCCGAGTGAGCGGAGGGTATCCGGGGCTGAAGGGTAGGAGCCAGCCACACGGAGACGTCTCCGAGAAGCCCCGGGAGAATGAGGAGGAAATGGCGCGTCCCCAGGTAACAGCGCGCTCAGAGAGACAAGAGGAAAGCCCAGGCCCAGACTGCCACAGAGCCAAGCAGGGGGGCGCGAGACGGGAAGGTGGTTCTGCTGTGAAGTGTGGGCACGTCAGGGTAGTGCTGGGGCAGAGGAGGGAAGGTGGAGACAGGGTCGGTTCTGACGCCCGTCCGCCATAGTGAGGTGCCCTGGGTGTCAGCCGGGCACAGTAGCCACGGGGACTGGCAGATGGAGCGCAGCCCCATGCCAGGCACCTCTGTGCAGAGCACACGGGGCTGCCCTGCGGGTCCGGCAAGGCTGCCGGGAGGGTGGCTGAGGCTGGGAGGAGAGATTGACAGAGGTGTGTGTGTGTTGGGGGGTCCTCCAGGGTCCTGGCTTCTCTGCCCAGCTCTTTGGGACCCTGGTTTGCCCTGCCATCCCCATCTCCATCCCTGGGTCTCCTCATCACACTGCTTGCTAGGATCTCAGGTATCCTTGCTAAGGCAACTCAGGGAACAGATTCAACCCCTTGCTCTGCACCTTTACTTGGTCTGGAGGGAGTCTCCTCAAACCCTTTTGGAAATCATTCGGCAATAAACAACCTTAGTGTCTATCTCAGCACTCAGGAAATGTTAGCTGGGACCTCATGTCCTGTTTGCTGGAAGTGCCGATGGTGGGGGAAGGGGCCCGGCCCCTCAGTTTCTGCCAGCCAAACGCCGCAGCCTGGGTTTTGCCCTTGGAATCTGGGAGGGACAGGACACGTGGCTGAGGCCTATCAGAGACCCTCCAGTCTCAGACCAAGACTACTTCCTCTTCCCTTAGGTCCTGCCATTTGAAGATTTGGTTGTCCTGGGCCACCCCTTCTTTCCTGTCGGGGAAAAAGCCATATCCTTTCAGTCTGAGCTGCTGGGGACCCAGTGTTTACTGTCTGTTAGCATGTTAAGAGGAGAGCCCGCCATTAAGCTCAGGCATAGGTGCTATGCTTCTCATGGTGAATGTGAATTTGATCGCAACTGAGATACTTTTTTCACTTACAAAATTGTCAACTGTGAGAATACTCTATGTTGGACTAATGGGTATCCTTACTGTTGATGAAAATGAAAATTAGTAAGACATCTAATGAGACCAATTTGATGTTATTTACCAAAAATTTAAGTTCACATACCCTTTGACCCAGAAATCCACTTTCAATAATTTATCATATATATGTGTATATATATATCCAGAGACATATATATGTCTGTTTATTGTACCATTATTTGTAAGAGCAAAATATAGAAAACAGCAAAATGTTCATCAGTAGTACATATTGATATGTACTATTTATATACCTCATGAAATAGAATAACAAACATTTAAAAAGTGAGATATGATCTGGGTATGTAGCTCAATAGTAGAGCACACGCTTAACATTCATAGGAGGCCTGGGTTTGATCCTCAGCACTACCAAAAGGGGCAGAGGCTCCTAATCCCAGCACTCTGGGAGGCTGAGGCAGGAGGATCACAAATCTGAACCTAGCCTGGGCAACTTAGTAAATTAGCAAGAGCTTCCCCAACCCCAAAATAAGAAGGTCTGGGGATGTAGCTCAGTGTGAAGGACCTGGATTTTGTCCCTAGTACTAAAGAGAGGTGGGGGATAGATATCAATGATTGTATATGTATGCATATATAACGAACATACCTATGCTTGTATGTGTGCTGTCTGCGGGCTGGGGACAGTGCAGGATGGAAGGATTAAGGGATGGGAACAAGACAGATGGGGCAGAAAGCACAAGGAAGGAATGAGACTTCTCAGTTACACTTTTTATGATGTGTTGACTTTGAAATCATGAAATGCTATGATTTATTTAAAAACAGAAATAGAAGATAAAACTTTCCCAAATGCTCTGAAAGAAGCCAAACTGGACAAGAAAGCCATAAAATAAATTTTAGCCTCAGAATAAGGAAGATGCTAGTCAGAAAGAGTGACTGAGTTGCGTGGTATAATTTAGGTCATTTGAAACGGACCAACAGGGAGATATTTTAGGGCAGGCGACTTTGTCCAAATAAAGATGATATAATGAGCTCTCCCTGGGTCCAACATTCACCACTCCTGTTCATCCCCGCTAACATTTCTTCAAAGGCTTGACAGTGCTGGCTTTCCAGGATGTCCCGGTCAGGTGATAATCATTTCCATGATAGCACATAATAGGCATATATATGTCTCTGGCTATATATATACTATATATATATATATATGATAAATTATTGAAAGTGGATTTCTGGGTCAAAGGGTATGTGAACTTAAATTTTTGGTAAATAACATCAAATTGATCATTAGATGTCTTATTAATTTTCATTTTTATCAACAGGAAGGGTACCTATTTGTCCAACACAGAGTATTCTCAGCTTTCTTTTTTCTAGATTAACTTTTTTTCTCAGTACACGTCTGCTGTACATAACAATCCCATTCATCGTGAGGAGCTGGGTGTGCATAGCACACCCCAGATCTCTCTACGTCCCCTTTCTGCCTGCCCCTCCCTTCATCTGCACAACTTCAGGTCGTTAAAGAGCCTTACTGTGTGACTCCGGAGAAGCTTATCCCACTGGATAAATCCATTTCGATCGGTGGCAGAAGTGTGGTAGGTACACGGAAGGGTGACACTTTTTCCTCGGGCCGCCCGAAGATCCCCCTGTGGGGTTTCCACAGTGATGGCGTTGACAGTCACCCAGACTGGAAGGAAAGCAAGAGGTGGGAGAGAGAAGTAAATGACACGAACACACCCCTCACGGCCCAGAAGAGCTCTGTGAGAATGCCTGGAGCTGCCACTGCCCCTGCAGCCCCAGCCGTATCTGCCATGCTGGCGATCGTGACCATGGCTGCCAGCTGGCCTCCTCCAAGACTGGACTGGGGTGGGGACAGCACGTTTGCCCAGGCTCCCTCATCTCCACCTCACAGCATCACAAAGCAGTGACGGGCACTCAGGGGTTAAAAGCTTGGCTTTGGATCTCAGTTCTGTGCCTCACCAGCTGTGTGAATTTTCTAAGCCTCAGTTTTCTCATTGGTAAAATAGGAGTCCTAGTTCTCCTATTTTGTAGGAAATGTTGGGGAGAGGGAAAGCAATTCTACATGTCAATATTTTTCTTAGTGCCTGGCACACGGAAAACTCTCAATAAATAAGATCTGCCATCTTTTTATGGTGATGATGATTTATTCGTTGACTTAAATATTTATAGAACCCTTCTCCATTGTTGGTGTAAACCAAATGTAAACTAGTACAACCACTATGGAAAATCAGTATGGGGATTCCTCAAAAAACTAAACTAGGAATTCCATTTGACCCAGCTGTTTCCTACCTAGGTATCTTCCCAAAAGGGTTAAAAACTTTATATTATAGTGATAGACACATACTCCCATTTATAATGGCACAACTCACAACAGCTAAATTATGGAGGTGGCATATGCACCCATCAACAGATGAATAGATTAAAAAATGTGGTATGTTATGGCTTGTGTCTAGATGTCCCCCCAAAGCCTCATGCATTCATAGGTGCAACTTTTTCAGAAGTGGCTGGATCTGGAATGTGTGATGCTGGGATTAAGGGTGTGTGATTACTGAATCAGGCCACTGATTGATTTGGCACCCAGAGTCTAGATAGAATATAAAAGGACAGAAAGAAGCTGCTAAGGTCACTTAAACTTGCTTCTTTGCTAGATATTGCTTTGCTACCTTCTGTCTGCCTTGAACTGTTTCTCCTCTGCGATGCTTCTCTGCCACACCACCCTGCCTTGAAGCCAGCCAGTTATGGACAGAAACTTCTACAAACTGAGCCAAAAGAAACCTTTCCTCCTTTAACTTCAGGTGTTGGATATTTTGTCTCAGTGAGAAAAGTACGATATGGTATTTATACATAATGGAGTACTACTAAAGAAGGATATAACAACCATTGTTAATTTCCTGCCTTGTTTTGAAATTCTGTATCTTTATTTTTTTGTTGTTGTTTTGCTTTCTTTTCTCTTTAAAATAAAAAAGAAGGATATATTTGAGTCACTTAAAATGGATGCACCTTGTGGCCATAAAGTGAAGTAAACCAGATACACAAGCTTAAATATTGCATGATTTCTCTTATCTGAGCAGCCCAAAGTATAAATAAAGTACAAAATAAAAGACAGATAGTAGGAAACAAGGAAATAGAACTTTTGCAAATGGGAAGAGGACTGAAGGAGTGGGGAAGAGAAGGAGTAAAAAGAGTTAAGCTGTATTAGGTACAAGAACCAACTCCCCACGATGAATGTGAGCATTATGTACTGCATACATGGACTAATAAAAAACAAATATTCAAGGAATGCTTACGTGTGGTAGAGCTTTGTGAGAGAGGGTAAGAGATGGAGGGCTTTGCCTGGGGAGTTCATTTAACATAAGTTTATCAGAAAGGGTGAGAGAAGAGTGTGGCTGTACCCCTTTCTCCCATCTCATCTGCTCTCCTTACGCTGGGCTGAGGACTCACCTCCTCCAGGAAGTGGGGTCCTTCCAGTCTGGGTGGGGCTGTGGCTGTGATATAGGTGACACTAGGTGCTCTGAGGCTATGAGAGGCCATACGCTTTGCCTGGTCTTCTGGGGATGTTCACAGTGACCACAGATCACAAGAGCAAACACCGTTGTCTGGGACTCCACTTTGGCCTTTGGGGAACAACTTCAACTCCCAGAGGAGGGAGTGAGCAAACCCAGCCACCCAGCTGCGCAGCTGACACAAGAGGTGCAGAGCTCAACTCCGCGCACAGCCCCACCCAGCTGGGAGATTTATGAGTAAAACAAAGACAGAGCGAAACCCCTGGTTTGTTATGCAGTAATCCATGGTTGGCACCGAGGTCTTTGGACGGATACCTGTGGTGAGAAGATCTAATGCCACTACTTCTCAAACTCTTTAATGAAATTAAAAGGGAAGCAATACTCCAAAATTCATTCCTGGAAGCAAGTATTACCCTGATACCAAAACCAGAGATGGAGCAAACAAAGAAAGCAGCTACAGGCCAGTTTCCCTAATAAACATAGATGCAAAAATCCTCAATAAGATACTGGCAAACAGAATGCAGCAAATCAAGATTATACACCACGACCAAGTAGGATTCACCCCAGGGATGCAGGGATGTTTCAACATATGCAAATCAATAAATGCAGTATACCATATTAACAGAGCCAAGGACAAAAACCATATGATCATCTCAATAGATGCAGAAAAAGTGTTTAACAAAGTTCAACACTCATTCATGATAAAAACAAATTAACACTAATGTGACACTAACTCACAGAAAACTGAAATAGGTCTTTACCTGCATCTGATAAAAGCTATCTATGACAAACCAAAAGCTAACATCATACTAAATTGACAAAAACTAAAAGCTGCCACTCTAAAATCAGAAACAAGACAAGGATGTCCACTGTCACCATTCCTATTCAATATAGTTCTGAAAACATTAGCCAGAGCAATTTGAAAAGAGAAAGAAATAAAAGGAATAAAAATAGGAAAGGTAGAAGTTAAATTATCATTATTTGTGTATGACATGATACTCTATAGAGAAGACCCCCAAAAACTATTATAAAACAACTGCTAGATTTAAAAACCAAATTCAGTAACAAAGCTGGATACAAAGTCAACACTCAAAAATCAATAGCATTCCTGTACACAAACTCTTTCTCACTGAGAAAGAAACTAGGAAAACAAGACCTTTCACAATAGCATCAAAAAAAGAGAAAGAAACACCTAGGAATCAATCTAACAAAGGAAGTAAAAGACTGCTACACTGAACAGTACAATGCTCTGAAAAAGAAGGTTGAAGAGGATACCATAAAATGGAAAAGAGAGAGAAATGATGTAGGACATATGAGAGTGTAAGTAGGGTGATGGGAGTAGGCAGGGCTTAGAAAGAACCCTAGACTGTTTATCCCCAGATGGGGCTGAAGATAAAAGCGATTGGCAGATTTGGCAGGAGGAGCGAGTGAGCATTTTTCTGAGCGTCCCCACCATGAGGTTGCGTTGTAGGGGAGGAAAATGTCCCTATCAAAGATCATTTCCCTTGCCCAGCTTTGGAGATCCCACTATTAAATCAAGTGGATTAACATACTTCCTTTTAAAAAATACAAATATATTCTGGGAACAGGATTGTTCACACTTAGTGTGCAGTGCTTCATTCAAAGACAGTCCTTCCTAGGGTGATCACGGTCATTACTAACAAGTTACTATCGGTCAGGAGGTTGGCTGCTGGAAGGGTCCTCTGACCATCTGCCCAGCTCTCATGCTGTTCAGAGAGCATGTCTAGAGGTTGTTCTCTGTATCCATGATAACTGCCACTATCTTGACCTCATGTCTCTGCCCTTGCCTCGGCCCATTTTGTTGGAGCCTTGTCCTCGGACCACCACTCCCAGGCTTTCCCGTAACCAGCATAGCAGTTCCTCCAAGTCCTATACCTTATTCAAGAGCTACACAGTAAGGAACTGGTGCCACCAGAAGAACCAGGTGGCCTATGCACTGCTGACCCCATGGGGCGGCACACTCTACCTGATGGTACTGACTCTCACTAGTAAACCAAAGAGAACCAACCCACTGTCCTTCCTTCCTTTAGACAAGTGAGTGTCTAATTCTCTGCACACTCAGTATCAAAGTGTTGGCGGGGCATGGCAGTGCATGCCTGTAATCCCAGTATTCTGGGAGATGTAGGCAGAAGAATAGCAAATTCCAGACCAGCCTGGGCAGCTTAGCAATTTAGCAAGATCCTGTATAAAAAAAAAAATTAAAGGCTGGGGATCCAGCTCAGTGTGAAGGCCTAGGTTCAATCCCCTGTACCAAAAGAATAAAAAAAAGGAAAACTGAAAAAGATGTTAAGCTAACTGGCAAAGGAAAGAAAGAGTTAATATGTGGATATGCAGTCAGTAATTCTCAATTCCTGTGGGTGCCATGTTTGGTTAATTAGGATTCAAGGGTGCAAGCGCCATACAGGTATTTCACAGGTACTTCACAGGTATTTTCTTACTCATTCTCATATTTTCCTTAGTCTCCTTAAAGGTGGACATCTGCTTATCCCCATTTTGCAGAGGACAAAATGAATGTTTGGAGAAGGAAAGCAATGTGCTTTATCCCACCCCGATAACTGACATACAGCAGAGCAGCCACAGGTCCATGCAACGCAGCAGCGTGGTGAGGGTGTGGGGCCACTGCCCAGCAGTCAGGGTTGAGTGCACAGGGTCGCCAGCCAGGCCTGGCAGGGGTGCTTGTCCTGACCCCCAGCAGAATCCACTTCCTGTTTTACTCCTTGACCACACTGGAGATGCCTGCGTGCCTTCTTCGGCCCCCATTCAAGTGTTTCACATGTGCCTGCCACTGACAGCCAGGGGCCCACTCTGTTCTGGGAGGTGAGTGCAAGCCTGAACTCATAAGTTTGTGGACACACACTGGATCCACACACACAGTCCGTTCTCTTAACCAAGCTCTGAGTGCAGTATTTGCTGGCAGAAGAGAAACGAAAAGGAACTTTATGGGGGAGGGAGCCAGGGCTGCTAGTATCCCTGCAGCAGCCCCCTGCCGGCCAGCACCTCTCAGCTCTCAGTGCTTCACATTCTGTCAAATGGAGCAGGCCAGCCCTAACTCTTAACTAGTGCTCATTACACGATAGTTACGTTGTGTGCGTATTTCCTATTGAACCACGTCCAATTTCTCATCCTATTGTCTCTGGCAAAG